AGATGGCCTTTGTGGCTGATGAAATAAATCGGAGATTCTCTTCATCATGTTATTCCAGGGGGAAATGGTGCTTTACCTGGAATTTGGCAAGATTAGAGGGGAGCAGGACAGGGAGAGGAAATGTACAAGAGAACATTTTATTTGGGAGAAGACTGTTTAGGAGGGAAGGTTTTTTATAAACTACTAAGTGCCTACCATCTCTGGTAAAAAATATTCCTGGTATGAAAAAGTACTTTTTTTTAACCCCTTGGAGCGGTGGTAAGTTTTGTGCAGTCACTTACGTTGTAGTGGTTGCAGTAGTCCATGGGGAGAGATCAGAAATGTTTGTGGAAGCGTGATGAGCGGGCAGAAAGAGAGGTCCAGCAGAGCCTGGGAAGGTGGGGCTGGGTGGGATGAAGGATGCTTGGTTTTCCAGGCTGCGGCAAAGAGAGAAAGGAGCTGGCTTGTTTGTAAGAGACGATGGAAGGAGACGAATGGAAGTGGAGAACCATCTTGAGCTGGTGGGTAGGCAGACAGGGCAGCAGAGAGCTGTCCCGGGAGACAGCCGTGCAGTGGCTTTCAGCATGCTGAGTTTTTGGGTGTAATTTCAAGCCCTTTTCCAAACCATGATGTACGAAGTTTGGCACTTTTATTGGAGCTACTGCTTCAGTTTGTAAAAAGCATTTGCCTACGACATCTGCTTGCATAAATGATTGTCGTGCCTTTCATTGATCTGAACGGGTTAAATTGTTTATATATAAAAAATGGTTTAGCAACGAGCTTTAATTTGATCGGTCTGTTAGATCAGAAACACTCCTCGGATCTCTAAAGAAATTTCTTTGATTGGAAGTTCATTAGCTGCTTTTGTCTGGCTTGTTCTCCGCTTACGTTAATTCATTAAATATACTTTGCCCGTTAAAGGCAGTTCTTAATTTACAATTCGCGTGTTTACTCTCTCTTCAAAAGAGTGCGGTGTGGCTGTATTTCCAAAAATCGGCAGGCGCCGCTCAACGCTTGTCCGGTACGTGGGTTCAGTGGCATGGGCTTTTGTGAAACGGCTGTGAGAGCTGCCACTCGGGGAGATTGGGTGACTGAATTAGGACCTCCCACAAATGCAGTGCTTTGAGACTCTCCAGCCTCAGGAGAGGCTATTTCAAAAGCTGTGTTGAGGATTTTGATTCCTTGCTCTTGAACCTGAAACACGGCTGCAGTAGCAGATTTTGTTTTCCCCATTTGGCATGCCGTAAATAAATCTGTGGGTGGGGGTTTAATGGAACTTTGCACTCAAATGCAACACAGAAATACTCAAGAATGAGAAGGGGTGACTATAAAGGGTTGTTGATCTGACTTGCTTGTGTTGACTTCCCCATGCTTGAACTCAAAGTAATGGCAGTGCCAAGGAGCAGAGTGTGTTTCCTTCATTATTTCCTCCTGAATTTAACGAGGTACTGCTCATTAGGTCAAGTGTGATACTTGAATCTTCCCAACTAACACAGTAGAGGGGAATTAAAATCACTTGCTTACCTGAGACCTGCAGTTGGCTTGTGAAGGTGATGGGCAAAGTCCCCGGGAGACCAGGGGGATGGGGATGGGGCCTGCCTGGCCACAGCTGGAGCAGAAACCAGGGAAAGCAGTTTGGGGAATTCTGCAGGGTCCATCCTGAGCAGACCATGCCGTTTCGATACAAAAAGAACGGGAGGTCCTCAGGTCTGCTGTGAGGTTACCCCTTAACAGTGGGTGTACTTGTGCCCTGTAAGTTGGGTGTTAGGCGTAGAGGAAAGCAGACCAAAAGAAGCATTGTAAAGGAAACAGCTGTGCCGGGTATTCGCCCTGTGAGCAGGCGGATCCCTGGGTCTGACACTCCTTTTGCAAGCAGACTCTCCTTCAAGTGGAGCCGCGTGAAGGTGTGTGTTATTAACATTTTACAGTGACATCTGCCCTGCTCCTACGCGCAAAGATGACCTTAAGAATTCTTGTATATAGGGTTAACTTTCTGGTTTCAGAGGTTTTAAGCCAGAAGCGTTCAAAGCCAAGGCTGCTGCTTTATTGCATTAGAAGAAAACAGAAGTTTCTGAGCTGTTAAATCTGACAGGATCTTCGGTGGCTTGCAAATCCTTCTCGTTTGTCAGAAAAAGTTGAAGCAAGCGTTCCGGCGAGTGCTTATCTGCGTGCCGTAAGCAGCTCTGCTCCAGTCGGTACTGCAAAGGGATTATTTTTGCAATGCAACAGTGTCAAGTTTTCCCTGTATGAAACGCTTCACTCTTTGCTCATCTGTTCCATCCCACTTCCCTTTCTCAATATCCTAGATTTAAGTCCAGGTTAGCCACAAACTCGTTACAAAGAGTGTTGCCCTCTGGTAGTAATTCAGCATTATTGTTCATGGAGCCATGCAAGGGTATAAAATGAATCCAGCACATCATAAAACTTGAATAGGTGGAAACATCAGAAGGGATATTGAGGATTTCACACGTTAGTAATAATCCTTTCACGCTTTTTGGTGTCTAGAACGGCTGTGAAAATGTACAACACTCTGAAAACTCACAGCCTTGCCGAGGTTTTTGCTGGTTTTTTTTGTTGGTTTTCTTTGTGCAAAGCCAGCCCGAATGAGTCAAGTGTCCCAAAGTCTTAAAGCTTAGGGTTCAGCAAAGGAGAATTTGGGCGCAATTTAGGTAAACTTTGAAAGTGGGTGCTTACGGAATGGGAAAAGGATGTGATCTAATTTACATTGCTGTTTTGAGTTGCAACACTGACTCACGTAAGGTATGGTTCCGCGCTCCTTGTGTCGGAGCAGAAGGTGTTTGGTCTGGAGAGGCCATCTGCAAGGGTCCTGGTGGGGAGGCAATTTATTCCCACTTCTTCAAGCAGAAGAAAGCAGATTACTGTGCTTTAGTAAAGGCCCCATTATCAAAGGTTGCGGAAAACATGCAGCGGGTTAAAAATGGATGCATGAAATTCTTAACACCCCCAAGACATTTACTCTGCCTCCCTGAAGGGCCATACAGCCTTTGAGGACAGCAGTGGAAGGGGCTCCTGACCTTCAGGGTCAGAGCATCTGCTGGGGCAGGGTCTGGCTGGAAGCAGAGGCAAGCTCGGCCGTCCCTGGCTACACACCTGGCATCAGTCAGTGCCGGGGCTGCATCCATGCTGGGGGCAACGCCCCGAGGGTCGCCCGGGAGCAGTGATGCTGTGCTCTGCTGTGGACCCTCTCATGCCCAAGTGCAAGTGGAAGCCAAGGCTTTCATGCCTGTTCTACTCTCCAGGTTCTGCACACCACTGGAATCTTCCTTTAATCTGTGAATTTGGCTTGTATTTTTCTGTGTCGCCATCGCTCTGTACACACAGTTTATCCCAGGGATTGCTTAGCACAGGTTTCCTTAATACCACGTTTTGCCAACCTCGGCTGTGCCCAGTTGCTGCGACAGTTGCAGCTGAACAAGCACAGAGCTTAAACGAAGGGTAAAACGATTCCTTTCGTCCATAATTTAAATAGTCTGTTTTCCCGTAAGGAACTGGTAGTATGGTTGTTTGGGAGCGGGGATAACCGCTCGGCACTATACCATTAAAATGTATGGATAACTGTAATCCTTCGGTGTCTTGCGCGCGTCCCTTTTTGCACTTTGTGTCTGAGCTGCCGCTGAAGACGATGAGTACGTTTGAGACAGTTGCTGCCTTGGCCGCTCCGGATCATTGCAGAAGCTCCGTTAGGAGAAGATGCTGATACCGTGTCTGACAATATCAGCTTTGCTGGGCGCCTTCACCTTATTAAAAGCAGATAAACTGAGTGGGTTGGTTGTGCAAGATCAAAGGAAAATTGGATCGTGAGAGGCCGTTGTCCGGATAACGCTGACATTGTGTCTTTTTCATTAGGGCATAATTGGATAGCGTTTGTAAGGGATATGAATATCTGTGGTCCACCACTCAGCAGAGGCCCTGGAACAGGAAACAAACTGAAACATGCTCGTTTATTGAAGTTTTTTGCCATGGGTAGGAATTTTTAACTTCGAGGCTTTATCTTTATTGTGAAAGGTACAATTTAGGCATGAAAAAATCAATGTGAGGTGTTTGTCCCACCACTGGAAACAAGGCAGTGTGCTTTTCGTGGGTAGGCAGCGCGAGCGGGCTGGAAAGGCAGGAGGTGCAATGCTGACGTTACCTAACTGTCTGGAAGGTGCCAGCTCCAGTGCCCAGACTTCAGTGGGGTTTGCAGTAGGCTGGCTTGGTTGTGCTGCAACTAAGAAAACGGTCTGTAGGTAGAAAAGCGTAGCCTCGGAGTTGGTGGTGGGTGATGCCTTTAAGTCTCTTTCTGTAGTACTTGGATCTTGTGCGTTTCCTTCTTCTCCGAAGGTTGTAACTGAGGATGTGGACTTTTAAATCGATGCTAGTGGAACGCTTTTGGAGAAGCTCACCCCAAATGAAGCTGTGTTTGATGACACTATTTGGAGGCAGATTCCCCGGAAGGTTCCTCTTTGCAGGAGTTGCAAACCCTCTCTATTCTGCTGTGTTTAAATAGATACTTAGAGGCAGTAAAATGATTTGAGACATATGCTTATATAATAATGGTGTTTCTCTGTACTCATACTACCCCTAAATCTCATTTCTCTCATATTTTGACAGTTTCAAATATTTGTCTGACACCATTTCAATTTTTTAATTTTAAGAATGGATTGCTGCGTTAAGTTTTATACCCACCCTTTGAAGTCAGCAGTACAGTCAGTTGGTGTATGCTAAGGTATGGTTCCTCTCCTTGAGCAGCAAATCAACAGGAATAAGGCTTCTGTACACACAGAAAGATCTGAACTTGTGTTTGAATATGCAGTATTTGTTTTTTGGTGACTTCTGAATACCAAGCATCCATGAAATGGGGAAAGGTTTTTCAGTTTTTTGATTCAAATTGCTAAAACGTCACCCTTAATCTGGAAGCGGTTTCCAGTAATTTTAGGGCTTAATAGAAAAATCAAGCATGTGAATGTGTTTGAAGCAGCTGAAGTGCATGCCTAACTGACTGTGCTTTTCCTTTGCAGGATGTTGTCTGGGGGTTAAACTCTTTATTCACTGTAAGTAAACAAATATTTTGCATATCCATTTTCCTTTTACCTGCCTAATTTGGTTTCAGCATCACCTGTTGTGAACCTGTTGCCTCTTAAACTTCAGGTCATTATTTCCATTGGCTTCAGTGGGTGTTGTACAAGTACAAAATCGGTTTGTGGTTCTGTCTGTATTGCTGCCAGTCTCATACCGACGGTCTGAAATGCCAGCTTTTTCATACATCGCTTTTACTTTCGGTTTCAAAACATCCATTATGGGATATTTTGGTAACACGTTACTTAGGATCTTTCACACAGTATGAAATTCCTTCCCCTGGTTTGCAGGAAATTGAGATTCATATTGCTCTGAGAAGGAATTGTGTTGGTGTTATGTTTTTAAAAATGATAGTTAGGAATTCATGACTGCCCTGCAGTCTCATTCCTGTTTTGTACACTTATATTCCCACAGAATTTGCACAAACCCTGGCTTGTTGCAGAAACTATATGATCTTTTTCAGGGATCCCATTTTCCCCCTTTTCCTTAGATTGACAGGAGCAAGAAACCTGTGCCTTGTAATTATGGGAACAACTTGAAAATGGAGGAGAGAGCAGGAAGCTGCAAGAGGCAAGCAGGATGCAACAGCTTCTTTTGCTCTAAAAGCAGAGGGAGACTAAATTTCTACTGTGAAAAGCTGCCTTTTTTTAGGGAGCCCAGGATTATGGACCCCTTCCACAGCCATTACTGCTGGGTAGGAAGGTCAGGAGAAAGCAAAGAAAGGCACTAACTTGGTTGCCACATTGGCCATTGACTCTGGAGAGAACTACCCCAGCCTCTCCGGGGTGTACAGAGGAGGCTGTGAGAAGCTTTGGGTAAGGAGCATCGCTGTGCGCTTCTCTAGCCCCAGCCTGCTTTTGGAGAGAGGGATTCCTTCCACCACTACCTGCGGAAGGAGGGGCGGAGAAGGGACTGTTCCCAGTACTGGCACCAGGATTATGGGACGTTTCTGAAACATCTGGCAGAGACCAGGCCAAGGGCTGGCTACAATCTCCTCCGCTTTCCTGGCATCCAAAGGCTTGATTTGTTTCAACTTCTTTGGTAAATTGATTTAGAAGGTTGGAGAGCACTTGCCTTTTCAACAAAGAGTAATTGCATTTCCTGGTTAGTCTCCCACTGCATGCTAAGTAACTGGGAGAAAGCAAAATCCACGGGAGGTGCAAAGTTCTGGCCTTCGGAGCCAGAACTGCACGTAAAAATAATCTGTTGGGCAGACGGCTGCAAAGCGCGATGGTCATGCATCGGAGACCGCAGGGATTTGTCATGGTAAGAGCTGTGCTGCCCAGCTTGCCTCTTGGATTTCCTTCACACCCAGCTTCTGGTAGATAACCAGGCTTTGAAAAGCTGGCACTGGATTGTACTGGCGTTGCTGATTCTTTTGGGGTTTTCTTGAAGAAAGTGAGTGAAAATGAGGTGGATCGGTGTCCTGGTTTGAATGAAATGGGGGGTTTGCTGCTTGAAAACAAGTGGGAGAGTAGCACGAGCCTTTCGTGCTTGTGAAACAATGGTCTGTCACTGCTGTCACAGGCTAAGCCTGAACTGGGGAAAGTGATCTGGGCTGCAGGCAGAAGAGGGTGGTTTATGTTTCAGTGTTATTTTTTATGATAATTCCTCTTTTATCACCATCTTGGTTTCCTTTAGTTTTAACCCTAGACCCTTTCTCCTCTTGAATTTAATATTTATTGAGATTAAATTGCCAAACCTGAGGTTTACTTTGATTATTTCTGTTCCCTGGCTCCACATGTCCTTCCTCTTGGGGGTCTTCCTTTCCTCTCGGCTGTGTTCTTCCCATTGCACTAAACCTGGAGCCTGACAGACAGGAAAGATGATATAGTTTCTTCACAGAGGGAATTCAGTCACTTGGCTAGGGAGATGGTGTGATGGAAGCTCCTCCTGCTTTATCACCAGGCTGTTTGCAGGAGTTTTTTAAGGGTTTACTTTACCCTTGAACAAAAATCAATGGGAATTTCAGAAACTTTAAATGTTCCTTCAACCTTTGATTTATAACTGTCTCAGTTTTCAAATAGAAATGCATCCCTGCCAGAGAGAAGTGTCACGGGGCTGTGTGTGACGTGCCACCGGTTGGGGTGGAATGCCTTGCTGCTGTTGTCATTAATTGTGATTTGGTTTGTAATCATCCAACTCCAGCAGGGATACCGGTCGGGGTAGTGAGAAAATGGCACTACACTCACTGGGCTTGTTGGCTTTGCTTCATTATCTTGTTAATTAGGGCTTTGGATGCCTTGTATGGTGCGGTGAGTGGGAACCCTATAACGTTCTCTGTTTCTTTTTCAGGATCTTTTGAATTTTGACGATCCTTTGAATATTGAGGCTGCAGAGCATCATTTGCGTGACAAGGTGAGTCAGAGTTTTATTTAAAGCATGTTGTTCCTAAACAAATACACACACTGTACTCGGCGATTCCCAGTCAGTCCTTTTAAAGCATACGAGTCGGTACTTCAGGCTGTGGAGTGACTCGTATCAGCAACCAGTTATTCAAAGAAAATGCGCTTCATCTGGGAAAATAAACCCGACGCAGCAGTGTTATTCACCCTATGCTAGAACTGTTGACAAGGATGTGGTCATATTCCCAAAACAGATGATCTTTTCCTTCTCGTTTCTGAGATTTTTCCCTGAAGTTGTACAGCTTCTGTGCAGCAAACGATAGCAAATTGGTGTGGCGGAGTTGCATGAGTAGCCTTTACCCTAGATGGCCTTCATAAAGGTCTCATCCTTCTCTGCCTCTTCTAAAATGCAACTTTTTGCTTCACAACTCGTACATCTTCCGTGCTTCTATGAAGCCAGGAGAAATCTGGGCATGTTTGGAAGACAGGAGTGGAAACTTCATTTCCTTTTTACTCATCCTGTTCATTCTGGGTGTATTATGGACCAGGCAAAGCAAAAGATGGGATTGATTAGTGGCTTGGTGAATACCTGTGAGATATGCCTCTCAACTGAGATTGCGCGTGGAGGTGGAGAAAGTACTAATTTCCCCTTTGTATGGATTTCTGAAGTCATGTCCCGTTATTGAGATGCATGCCTTGAGCACGTGAAAGTTATGCTTGGCGTGTTCAGGATGTTTTAATTAAACTCTGCCGATACTCTTATTGGAAGTTAAAGACTGTGTTACTTAGATGCATGCCTTGAGCATGTGAAAATTACGCTTGGCATGTTCAAGATGTTTTAATTAAACTCTGCCAATACTCTTATTGGAAGTTAAAGACTGAAGAAAGTTTCCAGGTAAATGTTGATTTGAAGAAGTCATTGGAAACACAAGGTCACGCAGTGCACCTAATTTATCTCATTTTTTCAAGAGGAAACATCAGGATGGCAAATTCATCTTTCTAGCTTCTGATTTGAAGAAGTCATTGGAAAGTCACGCAGTGCACCTAATTTATCTCATTTTTTCAAGAGGAAACATCAGGATGGCAAATTCATCTTTCTAGCTTTCTTGTTTAATGAGATCTGATAGCTATTCTGGGATTTGTCAGTGTTTGCAGGGCTGGGATGAGACTGTAAGCCTAAGGTGAGAAAAAATTAGTATACGCCTACGCGGGAAGAGGTGTTTTAAATGGTTTTGTTGTATAATTTTGGCAGAGTGTGCCAGGAAGCCTTCCAAGCCATAGAACACTGAATGCAGTCACAGCGGGGCTACAGCCCAAGAAACAAAACCAGTGTAGTGAAGGTAGCAGGCTGAATCATTTTCTTTGTTTTAATTGTTAGATTGAACTATTCTCTGATATCTTGCCAGGGAAATTTGTAGCACTTCGGGAATGGTGGGCTCAGCCTATTGCTGAGCGTGGAATTTGGCACTTGATTTCTTTTAACTGACAGAGGGAACGCGGTTTATTTATCCGGTGTCTGGGCAGGTGGTTGTAAGGAGAGATGCTCCCAGTACTAGTACAGTCTTGTCAGGCCTGCTGAGGCTCTGGTAGGTGAGCATTACCAGCGCTCCGAGTAAATTGTTAGACCTCAGCGCAACCGGCCGGGAATGTAAACCCGAAGTAGTCTCCACAGGTATCTGTACAATTCAAGTTCTGCCACGTTAACTTTTTTTTGGAGCTTATCTGAATTTAGTCTGGGGATTTCACTGACAGTGACAGCACCAGGTAGTGCTGGATTTTCCATGGTATGTCTTAGGGCAGCATCAGGACAAAACCAATAGGGCTCTCGTCTGGAGAGAGTAAATTATGCAAGGGAGAGGAATGGCCGATTGTAAAATTGGCCTCAAAGGATGCAGTTGCAGCGCTGAGTTAGTTTTTGTCTCTCTCAGGCATAGATGATATGTAGCATATAAGCAGTTTGTTGTGAAGTGGAACTGCTGTGGTCCTGTCTCTTAACAAACCGCTTACAGTGCACGATATGATGAATGTGGGAATGCTCATGGGTTTCCCTTGAGACATTTTTACGTGTGTAATACAATATACAGAGAGTGTATATGGAACGTATATGCCCGCATGCACAGCCTGTACACAACCAGCTGTGCAAATCTGTCTATATACAGATACTTCTGCATGCAGACATCTGTGTCTAACAGACGCTCTGAGAGAGTGCCTGTGGTCATTCGACAGCGTGGGCTTGTAACAGCCAAAGCCAGTGGACATCGAGCTGTCTTCTGTGGTTCTCCTGGAGGAGATGACTCAGTATTTTACTGATGTCATTTCAGATCTCACATCCTGGGATCCCTTTGCTGACATTCCAGGCTAAGAGGGGCTGCCTGAGAGGTTAACAGCTAAACTGAAGCTTCCCTCTGGTTATTGCAAATGTGAAACGGGAGTTTGTTCAGTTCTGTAGGCTGGTATTAAGTCATCAAAATGACTGCAGCCTTGCAGATGCTGGAAGAAATCACGTCATGGTTATAAAATCCTTATTATTGAGCCCTGGAAACCAGTTGTTCTGTGAATGTTTGTGTTACAGATCAGCCTGTGAGGGATAGTTAGGATCTCCTCCTGCAGAAGGAACCTCCTAATGGCTAATATTTGAGCACATAGTTGTAGTTTTTGGGAAAGCAGGATGTAAATATGATAGAAAATTCAGAGCTCAGGTTGTTCAATTAATTGCTGTAAAAAACCCTCTGTCTTACCTGAAATCTGAGTTAGTGCAGCTTCAGCTTCCAGGCCTCGGGAGCCTCCTTCAGCTCCAGGAAAGAGCTGCCAGTTGCTGAACCTTGTCCCTCGCTGCTTCCCTCAGCCGGTGGACATCAAGTCACTTTAAAATGAATTATTTTTTAAAGTATGTACGGTGGTTTATACAGCTTGAGTAACTCTACAGTCTTCCCCACAGGCTTTGCAAGATGTCAGTAACTTTTGGGAAGATTGTACAGTAAATTTGGGCAGTCATCAGATTTTCACAAATGCTAGATAGAGAGATTATCTCGATATTCAGGCTTGCTAGCCCTCTACTTATGTGTGACTTCAGTTTTGCAGAGGTGGGACCCCCATCTTTGCCTGCGTTGGTACTGTTGAAGTGATTTTATCGTCATTGCTATCAGTTTTGCCAATCGTCACTTGATCTTGTGATTGTCATCAGGTGATGTTGGCTCCTCCAAAGCTCAGTTACCCACATGGCAATCTTGTTCTGCATATGGTCAGACATCCCCCCCTTCAGCCTGTGAGCTCAATCTCCTGTCCTCTTGCCGTGCACCTCTGAGGGTGCTCTGTCCTCTCCGTAACCTCCTCGTCAGTACTGGGGGGGCTGCTTTTACCAGTGAGCCCTGTTCCTCAGCCTCTCCTCAGCCCAAGGCCTTCCCTGCAGCGCTGTCCCCAGCCTGGCATCTGGCACTGTCCCCATGCAGGGGCTGAGTGTGTCCCAGAGGCAGGGTTTTGCATTCGGCCTGGGCCCTCCTGAGGTTGCTGTTGGCTCTTCCTCCAGCCCACGCAGGTCCCAGTGGAGGGTGGATTTGCCCTCTGGCATGTTGGCTGCATCCTCTTTAGTGACTGTATTTCTGTAGAGCTGCTACCTACTTCCACGCTCATCCGGTTTCTAAACAAACCTTCCTGCAAGCTCGTTGACTGTGGCTTTCAGCATTTAATAAGGCATTCAGATAAAATCATAGTTTCCCTTCACTCTTCCTACTTCCCCTCACCCTCCCACTTTTCTTTAACTCATAGTTGTTTCCAGCTTAGGGAAATTTTGCATTGTTCATTTCTGTAGCGTTAACTTTTTAGAACATTCCTGGTGCCCACGTTGCACTGCAGTTAGGTCCCAATCCCTGGAAGGTAAGTAATCATCCTCTCTTGGTTTAGAGCTCAGTAAATCAGAATGAAAAGGTGATTGATGTCTGTGTAAACTGAGTGAGGTGTTTCCCAACATGCAGTCTTCTCACACTGATACAATGTCATCAGTTTGGTAGTATGAGTTTTCTTGTGCAATTTCAAGAACTGCTTACTAGTCCATTAGCTGGGACCGCTTTAGGTTTAGCAGAGAAGTCAGCCTGTCAGTAATTATGTGGATGGCCAGAGCGGTTAATTGCCACTAGAATTGATTTCCATGGATTCCTAAGCAATGAGCAAGTGTTCAAGTTTTAATGACTACTTACTTTAAAATGATGTGCTAAAAATTGTAGGATTTACTGCTTGTGCAGTGAACAACTAGAGCTCTCTTGATTTGCTCTCTGCGACAGCCAGGTAGGCTGAATACTGTAAAAACAGGGATGTAGCTTGGTAAGACAAAACCAAATCAGCTTAGTAGGTCAGGATTTGTATGTTACTTAGCCAGAGGTGCTGTGGATGCTGTGTCTGCTATTTATTAGCTGAAATCTAGAAAATACTTTCCATACGTGCATCTGTCAGGGTTGCTTTGAGATACTATCTCAGGACGTTGCAATCCGCTGGCTTCCTTAAAGGCCCTTATATTTCCTAGTGGTGGTTGCCTTTTCCAGAAAAAACATTTCAAAGCTTTGTATGCAGTACACCACGGAAAAAACTCATTATGCTGTTCCTGTGACTTGAAGTAGGAAGGTTTTTCTAAATACTCCTTTGCTTTCTTCCTCACCGAGGCCTGCCGTATCAAGAGCGCTAAGGCTGTGTCCCGTTTTTCTTGTTTTTGCCTGGTGTGTTGGGTACAGGTTAAAAGGCTAAAGCATTTTTTGTCACCCCGCAGGTTAGCAAACACTCGTTTAGTTCTTCATCCGCACAGTCTTGCGTTGTTTCCGTAGAAGCTGAGTGACATCGCCCTGTGTTGTCTTTCCTCCACGATCTTTCCGTTTTCTCAGTGAACCTCATCTGTTGGTATTCAGTGCGTGCAGACGCTTCCCGCTGTGTCACTGTGAAAGGGTGAGATAGATGGCACTCTGGAAGGGATTTTATATTTTCCCTCGTGAAAATCTAGCATGTCTTCTTTCATGAGACTTTTCCCAG